TAGATAAAATAATAAGATGTTAATAATTTCATTTGTTTTTAATAAGATAAAACTCGCGCTGGATATTATCGCTAGTGTTTTACGCGTTAGCTCATTGCCCCCCAACCATCCACCCACCCACCTGCCCCGCATCGCGCTCGTTGCTAACGGCGACCGTCGTCTCGGCGACAGCACGGTGCTGATGCTGCTCAAGATGGTGGTGGAGTACGGGCAGTGCGTGGACGACATGCCGGCGGTGGGCACCGACCTGCTGACGCGCATCGTCGAGCTGCTCAAGCTGTTCAACTCACGCTCCTGCCAGCTGGTGCTGGGCGCTGGCGCCCTCCAGCAGGTCCGACTGAAAACAATCACGACGAAGAACCTAGGTGAGTGCAGTAGTCGCTGACAGTAGGTGACAGTGTAGTGTGTAGCAGGGTAATAGCTGGCTGGGTAATGGGTAGCAGGGTGGTAGGTGGCAGGGTGGTAGGTAGCATGGTGGTAGGTGGCAGAGCAAAAGGTAGCAGGATGGTAGGTTGCAGGGTAATAGGTAGCAAGGTAATAGTGGCTAGCAGGGTTGTAGGCAAGGGGGTAGCAGGGGAGTGTGTAGCAAGGCAATAGATGGCAGGGTGATGGGTAGCTCGGTAGTGGGTAGCAGGGTAGTAGGTAGCAGGGTAGTATTTGGCAGCTTAGTAGGTGGCAGGATAGTGGGTAGCAGGGTAGCAGCTAGCAGGGTAGTCGGAGATCCTTGGTGGTGTGCAATGTTGTGACGATGGTTGGTGATGCAGGGCAAGGGTATATGATATACTGTTTAAGAATAGATGGTATTAATGTGGGTTACGGTGAACGTTATCTGGGCATGGTGGTTCGTGATGGGAAGTTAGCATGAACGATATATTGTGATGGTGGTTTGACGTTTGAGAGCAAGAGTGAATGATACGTTGGAACTCTGGTTTGGTGTTAGTGTGCTAGGGTGAAGAATGTATTGTGACAGTGATTTGGTGTATGCACAGCCCTGGCTTCAAGCTGCCTGCAGCTGATGGTACACTTCATGCCGCTGCTGAGACAGCACTTCAAACGGCAAATCCCAACACGACAGCAGACTGTAGACAAACATTTCGACCAGGCGCTGAAGGTGAGCCTAATGTCACCAGCAGGGGGCATCACCAGTTTTAATGTGGGGATAGTTAGGCAGAAAGGGTCGTTGTCGTATCAGGTACTACAGATATGTACCCGAGGTAATTTTAGGTTGTTTAGTATTATGTTTATATTTTTAGCTCATCTGACATAGTCAGATGCAGCTTGTAGAATCGCATGATCGTCCGTCCGTCCGTCCGAGCGTAACGCGCGCATGCACGCACGTACGCACGCACGCACGCACGCACGCACGCACGCACGCACGCACGTACGCACGCACGCACACACACATTGATTTATTGGCCTTTCAGGCACCTTAGTTCTTTATGACATTCATCTATTTATCTGACATTTTGTTCTGGTTTTTGTTATTATATGAAGTGTTGACTAACGAATCTTTTATTATGCTTCTATTGGCATATTCTACAGCATGACACATTGACAAACAGTTATTAGTATTATCCAATTTGGAGATATTTGCAGATAGTGGAGTGACGAATTAGGTTATGTCATTCGATTTTTTCACAGATTTCATTGCAGCTCTGTCACTTTAGCACGCGTTGACCAATAATAGATTTCTAGGCGAACTGTCTATGAATGTACACCACAATTATTTACAAAATGTACAGATGGTGATGATGTGCAGTATCCTGCAATCAATAGTGCTATGCAGCAGTAGTATAGCAATTTAATGCAGTGTATATAGTGCATTGCTATAGCAATTTAATGCAGTGTATATATAGTGCAGCGCTACAGCAATAATAGTGGTGCAGCATAGGTTATGCTGCACACAACATAATGAAAGCGAAGCAGCGGCGGCGGTGTGCACGCAATGGCCGCCGCTTCCACGTCGTCTTGTTTGTCGTGGGGCGCCGAGCGGGGGAATTACGTCGGCGGACGCTCTTTTGTTGTTTCAGGACGGGTTTCTGGAGAAGCTGATGCCGACGGAGTTTGTGCAGCTGTCGCGCAGCATCGAGCAGTTCGCTACAGAGTGCGAGCGCATATGCGGTCGCCGCAGCACGTCTCTACGGGGCGGCCTGCAGAGTCAGGTGAGGGGTCAGAGACGGGGATGGGGGGGGCGAATGTTGAATTTTTTCACGGGTTGAGATGGGGCGGCCAAATGTTTTTTTTTTACGCACGGCAAATGTTGCACGTGGTTTATTAGGAAATTAGATAGATTTGGAACGAGGTAATTTTTGACTTTTTTTATGGCTGATGATAGTAGCATCTATATATACTCTGTTATCTATATCTATCTATCTATATATCTATCTTACATTTAGATTACATTTCTTCATCAGTCCAGCAGACATTGGAATAGAACCGTAATACAAATACAATGAATGTGTGCCATGAACACGGATGACGAAAGAACACACACATACACACACACACACGCACGCACGGATGCACGTACGCACGAACGCACGCACACACGCAACCGCACACGCAACCGCACACGCAGGCACACGTGCACGCACACACACACACACACACGCACGCACACACACACACACAACGATGCAGTACTTGCAATTTTATCACAAATAGATCTGTGATGCAATGGCCTCTACAATTCACACGTAATTGAGGTTTACATTCAAGTACATTGAAGTAGCCAGGGGGTATGAATGTAAACTTCAATTACGTGTGAATTGTAGAGGCCATTGTATCACAGATCTATTTGTGATAAAATTACAAGTACTGCATCGTTGTGTGTGTGTGTGTGCGTGCGTGTGTGTGTGTGTGTGTGTGTGCGTGCACGTGTGCCTGCGTGTGCGTGTGCGTGTGCGGTTGCGTGTGTGCGTGCGTTCGTGCGTACGTGCATCCGTGCGTGCGTGTGTGTGTGTGTATGTGTGTGTTCTTTCGTCATCCGTGTTCATGGCACACATTCTTTGTATTTGTATTACGGTTCTATTCCAACGTCTGCTGAACTGATGAAGAGATGTAATCT